GACATCAAGACAGCATTTCTGTACGGAGAACTACAGGAAGAAATTTACATGGTACAACCACCAGGATACGAAGATGGATCGAATAAAGTATGTAAGCTTCAGCGTAGTTTATATGGCTTAAAACAAAGTCCAAGATGTTGGAATATACGCTTTAAGAACTTTTTGAATGCATTTGGTTTACAATGTACCGAAGCGGATGCATGTGTATTCAAAGCTGATAACAGCCAAATTATTCTTGCAATATTTGTTGACGATGGTTTAATCGCGGCAAATAATGAAGAGATAATAGAGAAACTTTTAACGAACTTGGAGAAAGAGTTTGAGGTTAAAAAAGGAAACTTAGATTATTTCCTAGGTATGCAGGTAAATATAATGAAAAATGGTTCATTATTTGTGCATCAGATAAATTATGCATGTAGCATAATTAATAAATTTAATATGCTGGACGCCAAGGAACTTTCAATACCAATAGACAAATCACATACACTTGAACATAAAGAAGATACGGAAATATTGAATGAAGATATTCCTTATAGGCAGGCAGTAGGTAGCTTACTATTCTTATCACAGGTAACAAGACCAGATATAGCATATGCAGTAAACTTTGCTAGTCGTTACTTAGCAAAACCAACTAAAGCTCATTGGAACTTGGTAAAACGGATTATACGATATATCAAGCGAACATTTAATTATGGCTTGTACTTTAATTACAAAACAAAATTGTCATTAGAAATATTTAGCGATGCAGATTATGCAGGTGACATTCAGACACGACGTTCGACGTCAGGATTTCTATTCAGGTACGGGTCAAGCATAATTTCATGGACGTCGCAGAGACAACATTGTGTGTCGTTATCATCGACAGAGGCTGAATATATTTCGGCCAGTGAAGCTGTCAAAGGGATCTTGTGGATTACACGGTTGATAACAAGCTTATCAACAACAGGTGACAAACAACCAGTTTTATTTATAGATAATCAGAGTGCTATTCGTTTAGTGAAAAATCCGGAGTTTCATAAGCGGACAAAACATATAGACGTACGGTACCACTTCATACGGGAGAAATACGAAGAGGGACAATTCCAACTACAGTACATTGGAACAGAGGACCAGATTGCGGACATTCTAACCAAGCCTTTGGTTAAGGAACGATTCGAGAAGTTGCGGTCAGCCATAGGAGTGACTACAATTAAAGAGATTATTAATTGAGGGAGGGTGTTGAAATATACAATTAATATGTAGTATATGTAGTCAGCCTTGACACGTGTGTACAATATAGTAACTAGTTATGTACGAGCATAAGACTCACTCTCTTTACGGATGTAACATGACCTCGGTCGTGCATATATATAGGGCCTTTGATGTATGTAATATTCACTTGCACAGTCGTCGTTGTACAGAGCGTATACGATGTGTGTGTACTGTCACAGTTTAATTGTCCAGTTGTACGTTATTATATATTATACTTATACATAATCATATTGTCGTGTTATTACTTATTATATTAATGCTAACATCATTAGTCCGTCAAGCTTCACTTTCAACAAAAAGCCCATACTGAAAAATGGATTGATAGAAGGCGAAACAAATCATACGCATCGTTTTCACCGGTAACAGATCTCTTAGTTTTATGAATTGATGGATTGTGGCACGGAGCTTACCGTGACTTCTGTGAAAACATGAACAGCAATGGATGGTGGTCGGTGCGGAGGGTAACGAGTGCCTTCGATCGCGTGTTCGAATGCCGCGCGGCGAGGTAGGCGGCGAGCAACTCACGATCGTACGCGCTGTACCGTGTCTGTGCGCCGGAAAGCTTGCGCGAAAAAAATCCGTGCGGTTGCCACTCGTTGTTGACGGACTGCTCCAAAACCGCCCCGACCGCGATGTTCGATGCGTCCGTGGTAAGGCGTAACGGTGCGTCGTGATGCGGGTGTACCAAAAGCGCGGAGATAACGAGCGCCTCTCGACAGGCTGAGAATGCATCCCGGGCGGCATCGGTCCACGCGAGCGGGCCATCGTTTTTTTTAATCGCCGCGGAAATGTCATACAACGGCGCTTGTAAGTTGGCTGCGCCCTGGACGAATCGGTGATAAAAATTCAAGGACCCGAGAAAACGTTGCAACTCTTTTTTGGTGCTCGGTTGGGGCCACCGCCGAACCACGTCGACGCTGTCCGGGTTGGGGCGTAACCCCTGCGCGTCGACTACGTGCCCAAGAAACGTGAGCGTGCTCGCGGCGAAAACGCATTTCGCCGGGTTAATAGCTATACCGAACTCTTCGAAACGGCCGAGGACCACGCGGACGTGTGCGACGTGTTGTTCCGCGTTTGCGGACGCGATGAGGACGTCGTCAACGTACGCGAAAACGAAATCGAGACAGGTGAGAATGGTGTTTACTAACCTTTGGAAAGTCTGTGCGGCGTTGCGGAGACCGAAGCACATTACTGGAAACTCGAACAGGCCGAACGGTGTTGTAACTGCAGTTTTGTGAATGTCGTCGGCGGCGATCGGGACTTGATTGTAGGCGCGTACTAGGTCAAACTTGGTAAAAAACGTCTTTTTCGCAAGGTTCGTGGTAAAATCATGCTGGTAAGGCAGTGGGTAGCGATCTGGAAAGGTCCCGCTGTTGAGTCGGCGGTAATCGCCGAACGGTCGGAAAGACCCGTCCTTCTTGGGTACCAGCAAGAGAGGGCTAGCCCACGCGCTGGTCGATGGTCGACAAATACCTTGTTTTTGCATAAGTTCGAAATCACGGCGAGCGATGTCAAGCCGATCAGGCGGCAACCGTCGGGGACGCGCGAATAGGGGCGGTCCCTTTGTTTCGAGGCTGTGCTCAACTCCGTTTCGGAATCATTCAGGGACGGACTCACGGGTCACGCTTGGAAAGTCCTGCAGTAATCGGTCCAAATCAGGGGCGCGTGCGACGGTAAGCAGAGGGGTGCCCGTCGACGGTGTGCACAGGTGACCGCTCGTTTGTCGGTGCGATCGACGAGGCGCTGGCGTCAAGCGTCGACGAGGAGGCCGAAGTAATGTAAAAAATCGGCGCCGATGATGGAGCGTGAGACGTCGGCCATCTCGAAGGTCCAGGTGAAGGTGCGCGATAGCCCGAGGTCGAGGTTGAGCGTTTTCGGTCCGAACGTCTTGATCCTGGTTCCGTTGGCAGCTGTGAGGTGCACGTCGGACGGCTGGCGCGAACCGTAACTGTGCGGTATTACCGAAATTTCGGCGCTCGTATTGATGAGGAAAAGCTTGCCGGAACGATGATCGTTAATGTGTACCCGCTTAGAATTACTGGCGACGTACAGGGCGGGTGTCCTGTGCGCGCTTTTCAGTTTTCCGCAGCCGCGGCAGCGGAGTTTTCCCCGGATTTCGGCTTGAAATTGCAAGGAGGGCGACAAGTGCGCGCTCGGCTCCCGAACCTCGCGTGGTAGTAGCACGATTGAGCCGGCTGTTGTACGTCCAACTGCCTAAGGGCCCGTGGTTGCTGCCGAGATGGCTCTCCCGCCGTGCCGACCATCTTAGTGAGAGACTGGACCTGGAGTTACAACGCGGACAACGCGGACAATGCATCGGCCAAGTCGTTGAACTGTTCCTTCGACAGCACGTCGATGCACTGCGGGTTGGATGCTTCTAAAACGCGGTCCGCGCGCACAGCCAGTTCGTTCAATGGCGCGTCAAGGCTGGCGAGGATGGCTGTGACGTTCGAACGACGTACACCCTTGTGAGTACTAATTATTAGCAACTAATCTCTCGGTAGATGCTATGTCCTCAAATTTTTACTTCAAATGTAAAACTATTATACTTTTTATAAACGTAAATAAATTACTTATAATTATTACGGTGTAACTTGTCACTCTGTACCAGGGGCGGATCCAGAAATTTTCTGAGGGGGGGCGCACATTTGGAGGACATTAATTAATTATATTGGTCTTCCGATGTTATGCAGTTAAACCATTTAATTCCATTGAAGTTAAAATTGTATACTGATAATAATAAATGAATATTCTTTAAATACTACATACTTACTATAAATGTATTACTAGAGGTGCGTTGCCTGAACAGCCAGACTGACGATGGCCTGTACGGCTTATCTGATTTTGATAACAATATGCGGCCAAATTTTTGATTGTTGGAAGGCAACGCGAAAACCGCTATCAGCGATTAATATTTATCAATTATCAGAAGACACACCCTTTATACTCAAGTACTCAACCAGCATTCATGACTTTGTAGTAATATTATATTAATGATATTAATATAATATTATGATCATTGATTTTTAATTTTTATTTGTACTCGCATTCTCATTTCTCTCTCTCTTTATCTATTTATTCTCAAGACGTAACAATGTAAACGTACGTAATAGTTATTAATATAATAATTTTTAATTTTGTAGTAATCTTAGTAAATTTTATTTTGTATGTATCAATATATTATAATAATAATAATTACGTGAAAATATTACTGTACTATAAATTATTAAACATTAATAGTTCATTATATATATTTTAAATGTGAATGAAAGATGAATTCTATAAGAGTGTAGTGAGAACAATTATGTTGTATTGTTTGGTTGATATGGAAATAGAGCAGATGATGAGAATGCTTGGATAAATGAGTGGACTGATGGAAGAAGATAGGAAAAGGAATGAATATGTAAACTGTAAAGACTGTAAGAAGAAGAATATTGTGGTGTCGACCGTTCGCAAGATAAGAGAGAATAAACTGAGATGGTTTGGGTATGTTTTTAGGAGAGAGAAATCAGAAGATGTAAGAATGGTTATTATAATGTACCTATGATGAAAGAAAAATAGGTGGTTGAATGTGATTGAGGGCGATATTATAGGAGTCCGAGTGGTCCAGATACCACTTTGAACGATGTTGTCAGATTATAAAATTTGTTGTAAAGTTTTCCTCTCTTTGACGTTCTGTAATATTCCTGTAAAATGCCAGTATTTTACTGTTTGGACATTGATTAATTAAAATTAAAATAATATTAATATTAATGATAGCATATTACCAATTTTTCGGATGGAAACCTTTCCAGAATTTGTTGTTCTAACTGATAACTGGCAGCTAGAGACATCTTGACACCCTTCTCTTCATAATATTGTGCAATCAAAGATATGAGAATATATCTTTGATCTTCGTGGAAATTTGAAAACTTGTTGTATAACTCGACAAGACCCTTCCCTCTAGATGTTTCATTGAGGATGTCACTCAGAACAATTGTGCATGAGTTATCAGGGCTGGGTGTAGATCTTTGGTATGGTATAGATTTTTGATAGGGCGAAAATCTTGACGGTGTATTTGTGTTTGATGTGTTTGAAGAACTAGAACTGGATGATGTGCCTTGAAAATCCAGATAAATTGGACTCATTGGAATCCCAATTGATTCACGCCATTCTTCTAATTTATTCTCAAACAGAATTTGTGTCCCCAGATCAAAACCTTTTAGCAGACGTTCGATGTGGTGACGTTTTATAATTTTCAAAATATTGATAAAGCTCTCTTAGCTGTAAACCATTAATATAAGTTACAAATTATGTTACTGTTAATATGCTTCTATATGAAATTTAAAAAAAAAAAATTGGTTTACCAATGCACGCATCAATCAACTCATTGAGATTCCATTGAGATAGCAATTATCGAAGTTCTACCTCTTCTGGTTTTACTTCTTCGGAGGTTAATATCTCTGTGATAATGAATTCATTTTGAGAGTTGGCTGTATCAATACCTTCATCGTTTAGCTCAACTTGAGAATGAAGCATCATTTGGGATTGTGCATCCAAAAATGCATTCATAATTTCATCATCAACAACTTCCAAAGTTCTCTCAATTTCCACTTCATCCATTCTTCTAACGGTTATAATTGAATTTATAATATTGTCATTTTAAATACAAACAAATTGAATTAAGAAAAATTAATACTACAGGTATATAAAGAAATAGATTAGCGTCATTATTATTTATTTTAATTATTATTAAAACCTACTATTAATTGTAGGTACCTATTGCAATTATATTATATTATAACCTAACCTAACCTATTATATTTATATTAATATTATTATATTATGTAAAACTAAATGCAACGATAATATTCTTTAATTCGTATAACTTTTTTGCCTTCTGCAGTTCTAATTAAATGAATAGGTGGTCCAATTATTTCATCTGCAGCTATCATTGAAAATGAACCTAAATTTAAAGGATCTACTTCATATGCAAGTATATGGTCATCAAATTTTACACTATATAAATGTTGACAAAAAAATAAAACATGCTTCCGTTCTACTACTACAATTTCATGTATCAAGTTTAACAAAATATTTTTATTAAAAACTGAAATATAACAACCTTGTCTGTATTCAACTCCTTTAAAATAAATTCGTGAATAAAATTGGATGGAAACGTCATGAACGTTTGGTAATTTATTATTAATGAGATTTTTGAAATTACTCTCTACCAGATGATTATCATTTGAAGTAATAGCATTAAAAAAACTTGTCCCTTTTAACAATTGAAATGCAAATTTTAACTCATACTTTTTAGCCAATGTTAAATATATATTTTTTCGTGAGGTTATACAATGTGAGTAAACTTTAAACTGTTTATGTTTTTGCTCAAAATTGAAACACCAAATCTTCCTTAGAGGTCCTGATTGTCTAATAATATTTGGGTAATGAGTCAAATTGTGAAATTTTAGTTTTAATGTATCATTAAATAAAGTGATATAGTCAGAATTATGTGTTTTAATTTTATTTTCCAAAATCAGTATATTACACTCATCAATCTCGAAACAAAGTAAAATATCAATGATTTCAACAAAGTTGATAAGAAATTTCCAGACTACGTCATCTGAAGGAACGAGATCTCCAATCATAACAGGAAAATACATAATGAAAGTCATCATTTCCCTAGCAGACATTTTTAATTTTTTTTTTTTAAGATGGTGAAGCTGTATTTTGGGTGAAATATTCTCAATTTCTTTTGGGCCATAATCGAAAAATTCCTTTCGAGAGTTCAAAGTATCTAAATCAAAGTATTTCATAGAAGTAATAAAATAGTTGATAATATGAATGGTATTATAATGACAGACTCCCTCAAAAAGGTCATGCACAATATCAGCATAGTAGTTTTTGACTACGTGGAAGGATGGAATATTATTTAGTAAGGATTTGTTAACCGGAGTTGCCCGATTGCGGCCCGAATTCAGGTAGTTGTATTTTATCCCAAATATAAGTATCCCGATTGCGTCCACAGACACATTGGTTCACAAAATACCTTATAATTAATATATATATATAATAATATGTTTAATCACCAAATAATAAAGTATTTCAAAATTATCATGAAACAAGTATAAAGTATAAAATTTATTTAAATACATGGCAAGTATATTTTGTATTTTAAATACTTTCTGAATGGATGTATTTGTATACAATTTTAAAAGTATATAATATGTATACAAATAGTCAAATATTAAAATAATAAACTGTTTACAATAAAAAAATATGTAAAATACAAATATTATGTCAATGAATAGTAAAATAATTATAGTGTTAGATGCAGATTTTTAAAACTTATTATTTTTACAAAATCAAAATTAGATATTTCCAAGTTTTTTAATTTTGTAATTTGGGTTAGTATGATTTTTTTTTATTAATTTGTTTAGTTGTTTCCCGAGGAGTACAAACAATAGATTAGATATACGATAGTTATATATATGTCAATATACGTAGCGGACGCAATCGGGATATTTATTTGGTTTTGATAACCACTTAAATATTATTTCCTACCTATTATGGACGGGCCGCAATCGGGATAGGTGAAAAGGTAAAAAGTTTACTTTGGGCCGCAATCGGGCGACGCCCTTGTTAACAACTCCTTTAGAGTTGGGATCCAAAACATCTAACTGGTTGTTTTCTTCTGTGCGCATTAATTCTGAATTTTCACAGCTTAATTTCTGTGTCATTTCTTTTGGAGCTCTACAAAGTCTGCAAAAATAACTGCTAGAGAAAGATTTACTGAAATTGAGAAAACAGTTTAATCCTAAATTGTCACCTACGACTAAACCTAAGATAAAATGTAATTTGATTGTTACATTATTGCCATCATTAATGTCAATTCCATTTATTTCTAAATCTTTTAACTGATCTATGAGACATTCAAAACATTTTTCGTTGCCAAATTGTTTTAAATCTGATGTCTTCGTAATAGCAGCATAAAAAATATTTTCCAATCTAGATTCTTCCATTGGTAAACATGGGAATGAGTAATATAAATTGCAAATGGAATGTTTTGAAGCATTAGACCCAAGAGGATTATTTATTTAAAAATCATCTACATATAAAATATAAGGTATTAAAGTTTTTCCCGGGTATAGTTTCATTTTTTCTCTCCATAGTTCACCTTGTACAAAATTAGTTAGCCTAACATTATTTTGTTTTAAAGATGTAATGTAATTAAGAGTAGGGCTAATTTATTTATTTACTTCAAAAAATGTTTTGAATTGGAAATTTAATGGCATCAAAATACCTTTGGTTGTTATTTGTCTGTTTTGTAGTTCTCCGGATCGATGGGCTGGCATTAATTAATCATTAATTGTCACCTCTTTAAAATTTGTTGCATAGCCTTCATTTTTTAAGAAACTATAAAGTTTGTAATCAGAATCAAATGGTTTAAAAGGATTACGTAGGTTTGACACTAAACTAGAAACATTGTTATACAAAGAATAAGGCTGTTCATTTTGAAAATTGGATTTAGCAAAATTTATGAAAGTATCTAATAGTGGCTTGATTATATATTGGTTTACTTGTTCTTGAACTTCTAGCACATCTTTTCTAGAAAAATTTTTATTATTGTGAAGAAAAAGAGTAAATGTTAACGCCTTATTAATATTTTTTTTTTAAATGGTAATCTAAATTGAATTTGTTGTGTGGAGTCTCTATTGTATCATCATTCACATAAGTATCAGTACATGCACTGGATTTAAACTCATTGGATTGAGAAGTATCTGACACTTTAAGGTTAATGAGAGCTGTTGATGTTATAGGAATATTACTATCTACAGGCAAGGGGCCAGTGCTATTCATAAACTCATCTAAATTGACATTGTCATTAATTAAATCATTCTGATTATTAGACTGATGGTGCCGAATCACATGTCTTTTAAATCTTGACCATAGTGTAAACATTTGACCACAATCATTGCACCTAACAGGTGATTTACTATTAAAATTATGTGAATTTTTAAAATGAAGAATAAGTTTGTCAATATCATTATGAGAAGATTTACACTTGAAACATAACATTTTTATTTCTGTTTTATTATACAATTATAACCGATGTATTTTAATTGGAAGCTAAAAAAATAAATTTAAATTGTTGGTTTTACAATACAAGTACAAGTATTAAGGTAGGTAGGGGAGACTGGATACGATTGTAACATGGGACAATTGTAACACTAGCAATAAGTTGTTCCACAATGTTGGTTTATTTTATTTATGTTGATTTATTTATTATTTGATTAATATTTTAATAATTTTAAATAGATAACAATGCCTAGTTTCAACAGTTAATGTTTTTTTTTTACAAAATTGTATTATTTTTAATTTAAGTATGTTATTATCTTAGATCATATACAATGTAGTATATGATCTAAGGTTATTATTTAATTATAATTAGGTATTTAGGTATTCCTCGTGGAATGTACATAATGCCACTTTAGTAGGGGGGCATCGAACAAATAATATGACAGAAGGATGGAATAACCGATTTTCAAAACTTTGTGTACATAAACATCCAACTATTTGGAAATTAATAAGAAAAATAAAAATGGAAATTTCCGCAAATGAAGCAAAATTAGCTTTAGATGCTGTAGGAGAGTCGAAAACTGTTAAAAAACTAGGGCAAACTCGGACAGTAGAAAAACGTCTGCAAAATGTATGTATACAAATACAAGCAGGCAATATCGGTGTATTAGATTTCTTAACAGCCGTAAGCCATAATATAAGGAAGAGGTGTACCTAATTATTATTTTATTATATGACTTTTTATGTAACTTTTCAATACAAATATTTATTATTTATACTTAAATTTTTATATATTTTCATTCATTTTTATCGGGACTTTGTATTAAATTAAATTAAACTATATTTTAATATGTGATTTAAGTAAGTAATTAACATTTTTTATGATATTATATGACTTTTCATGTATTTATATATTTATCGGCACTTTTTTTTCCGCCATTCAAATATTTTTACTTTTGCATTCAAATAAAAGTCAAAGAACTAAGTCTAATACTTCTTTCTAGAGAAACATTATAAAGGAAATTTTGAATAAATACCAAGACGGTTGGTTATCTTCTAAAATTATCTTAAAATTATTAACTTAAAAAATATCAACGCATGCCACTATATATTATATAAAATATAATTGGACTAGCACAGTAGTACATTTAGTTTTTAAATGTAAAGTAAAATAAATAGATTTGTATTTCTTACCTTGCGTTTTTTCACAAGTACACAAAATGACCACACACGTACTTTTTTTGGAAACTTGGAAACTTTTTTTTGAAGCACAGAACTTTTTTTGGGGATAAATGTACAGAAACCACTAGCACGTGCAGTGTATAAACAAATCGCGACGGGGAATGACAATTCAGTTATTGATAACAAAAACGTGTACATTATTATAAAAAATTATTTTATTAATCCAAAGAAAAAACAAAACAGTTATTAATAACTGTCACTGAGTTTATCATGTTTATAAATTCAATTTTCGACTTAATCGTAGCATATACGTTATCCCAACAACTAGAGTTTATAGATATGATAATATGCTTGTTTTTATTATTCATTACGAAAATAATCGTTTTGAATATTTTGATGATTATTATAACGAAACACAACATTACGTTAATAAATAACATATTATTCAATTCAATAAACGTATACATATTGATTTCATAAAAATATTTTTACAAAATACTATTACTGTTTATTAATATAATAAATTAATACATTAGTATCACTATTTAACTTATTAAAGTAATTAACTATGTATTTATGGTTTCAATGGTAAAAATAATTACTTCAATAACTATTTTTTGTACAAATGATTAAAAAAACAAATTGTATTCACGAATACTAATTTATAAAGTTAATCATCATTATTATCCATCAATGAACAATATTTTATTGGAATAGTAAGAAAATACATTGTGTCAATTAAAATCATCAATGATTGCCATTTATTCATAAAACAAACGACCTTTTTTTCAGTGTATTTTTTCTAGATGATCACTAACTAGGTACTTTTTTTTATTTGTTTTTTGTTTTTTAGCTAATGGTTCATCAGGTGACATTGCCGGCATTATATCTATGCTTGTACCAGTAGCTGTTGCATACAATGCAGGATCAATGTGGCGTTCTACTGTCTTAACACCACAGGATACAGTGGCTAACGGAGTATAGCTTGGATCTTTTGAAAAAATAGACTCCATCTCATCAAAATATTCCCATGAATCCCGACCACGACCAGTTTTGGAGTTTTTTTCCTTTATATTTTTAAAAGTTGTAGTGTGTAAGCAGAGACAACGAAAATTTTATTGCTTTAGATAACGTAAAATGGGAAGAATGTATAACATTAAAGCCCTATAAAGTTTGTAGAGGTAATCAACATGTACAGCATCGTGCAGAATCAGATGTATGTGTAGTTTCATTACTAGCGAATAATCAATTTAATCCAGACCATTGCAAATTCAAATTCGTTTCATTAAAAGCCCCTATATGGCATCAGTTAGTGCAAACTAATTCATGGATCTATTATACCCAACGGGAAGTAGGTACCATCACTTGCACAAATCCAACAGAAAATTCCAAGATAGAAATTGAGGGCGTAGGCAGAATAACTATACCCCCATTTTGTAAAATTAATCTCAGAAACTCTATATTATTTTCTAATAACAAAGCTAGTAGGGATATTCATTCAGATATTATACCAGAAAATTCTAAGAAGGATCCGTTACACACATTGACAGATATAGTCAAAACAATTATTCCTCAAAACCTCACTAATAAAATCTTAATTCAAAATTTGAACCAACTGACTAATAAAGCAGTTGAGTTAAATGAACTTTCACATACCCTAGCTGAACCTTCGTTAATTTTCAATATTAACATTCACGTTATTGTCATTTATATTATTGTAATACTAACAATACTAACATTTAGTATATTAAGTTTTAGTTTAAGAAAAAATGTTACAAAAATATACAACCCTGAAATACCAGAAGCATGAAAAATCTAATGGTATTTAGAAAGAAACAGTGTAATTTATTTTTCTTTTATTATTTTTCTTTAATATTTTATTATTTTATTGTCAAACTGAACTGACCCCCAAATAACAGAAAATTCGAAATCTTGCAGAAACTTAAATATTTAAGTGAAACACTGTGGTCATTGGACCCCCGTGTCTCATTTAGTCTGGGGGGTGTTAAGAACCCCTGATCAGTACATATTTTATTTTTTATATATCTATATATGTTAACAACATATATAGACAATCATAATGCAGAGTGTGTGTCGTAAGACGCTGCCACCGTGGGAACCGCTGAATAAGGGTTTTTGATGTGAGACGGGGCACCGTCACGACAACACACAGGGAGTCAGTCAGTCGTAGAATTACCAGTGTTCGAATAACAGATTGTAGCTACACTTAATTTTTACTACCAGTTTTAATAAAAAATACATTAATTATTTTAATTTTCAATTGGTGCGTACGTTTATTTTGTGTTGTGTGTAAAATCCATAACACATAACATAAGTAAATTCATTTTTCTATTGCTTAGATATAATAGACCAATCATTTGAAACTTATTTTTCTAAAGAATCTCTGGAAGTTTATAAAGACCTTTCTCTGTTTAGTAGAAAACGATTCAAAGAAGTTTTTAATAATACAAGTAAATTACCTACTGATGCATTTTATAATGATGCAAAGATTTATAATTCTTTTATAAATCAACATGAACTTATTAAAGAATACTTACATTTTTCTAAAGTATATTTCAACTTTGAATTGACTTCAAATCTTCCAAAAACATTCCATGAAAACAATCTTGAAAGTTATGATAGCCAAGATGACTGTGATAGTGAAGACTTTGAAAATATTGAAGATGAAAATTCAAAAGAAAAAAATAATTTATCAAGTATTTCAACTGTTTATGACGTATTTGTAGCTGGAGGTCTAATTGAAGTATTTCCTACTTTAAACAATGCACTTCGCATTGCTTTGACTTTACCGGTTTCTAGTGCTTCAACAGAAAGAAAATTTTCCAAATTAAAAATTGTGAAAAACAGATTGAGAACAACTATGACACAAGAGCGACTTGAATCATTGATGATGGTATATTGTGAACAAGACATAAAATGTGACACCAATACTATCATTAACAAATTTCCATCTCATGGGAACCTTATAAATGAATTTAATGCTTGAAGTTTACACCTATTTGGCTATTTAGTATTTACTATCATATTTATTATTTTATTTTGTACCTATTTATTACATAAATTAAAATAAAATATTGAAGATTATATTTTTTGTAATTTAATTTCAGTGGTGTTGACCTTTTTCATTGATAATTGAGGGGTTCTTTTCCAAAACTGCCTATTTCCATTTTCGACCAAATTGAGTTTTACATGGAAATATATGTAGAAAAATACGAGAAATCGAATGGCGTGATTATTTTTTGACAAAATGCACTATTTCCTCTTTAAATCTCAATATAAATGTTGCCATTTGATTCAAAGCTTCCTATTTCCATCAATAGTTTTTTTCAAAATGAACCATTTCCATTTATTGCAAAATGCACTATTTCCAACGTAATTAATATACAGATTAAACACTTTTTATTTTTTATGCCTATTTCCATATGTTATAAGTATAGGCAAAATATTTGTTTTTTATCAAAACTGCCGATTTCCGTAAGTCGAATTTTTAAAAGTTTTAAAAAATGTTATCTTTATAAAATTGATAACATTTATAAACAAACCTAGTGGAGCAAAACGTTTTAATTTTCAAGACAACATTTGGAACGTTTCAAAACATTTTTCGTTATCATGTGTTGTATATTTACTGAGATAAGAATGCTCAAACTTGGCCTCCCAGCAATATGACGTCTATTAATAACATATTTTATTAGTACGTATACAACAAACACTAATATTTTATACTGATAGGAATATTGACTTATTAATACCTAATCATTATAATATTTATAACAAAATATTATCGATATTTAATCGTGAACATTATTGTTATGATATCATCATTTTTTATTTTGTAATTTTAATAATTTATACTAACCAGTAACCACCATGTCCAAAAGAAGTCAACGAATTGTAAATAGCTCTTTATTAAAGAAGGTAAGTGAAATGTATTATGTAATGTTAATATAATTTGTTTATACAATTGTAACAAAGGTAGATACCTGTTTAAAATTATATATTCTGTCACATGCTTTTTGTATGTTATGTATGAATGAACTTTAGAATAAAACATCGAAATCGATAGCTTTGGACAAACCAAATGCAAGCCATGAATACAAGTTTTTCAAACCCAGACAACTGTTTAAGTCAGCTACTTCTGGAGTTGATAAGGTAACAATATATTTCACATACTCTCTGATTTATTTAGCCATTGTTTAAATGACCTTATTAATCATTAATCTTAACTTTAGTAGTTAGTAATAATTAGGTATTATTGAAAACATTTGTATTAATGCACTTTTAAAGTTACCAACGTAGTCAACTAATTATTTTAATCTATAATACAAATAATTACAAAAAAGTTTATTTTTTAAATTGTATTTTAGAACAATGAAGTGATTTTAAATATACAGCCAACTCAGTCTTTATTAGCAAAACAAAATGTTTCTCAAGTGAGTTATATAACTTAATATTTTTTTATATATTGAATAGTTGATTATAAATTTATTTTTAAATTTGTGTCTTAGAACAATGAAGTGATTTTAAGCCAAATGATACAGCCAACTCAGTCTTTATTAGCAAAGCAAAATGTTTCTCCAGTGAGTTATATAACTTAATATTTTTTTATATATTGAATAGTTGATTATAAATTTATTTTTAAATTTGTGTCTTAGAACAATGAAGTGATTTTAAGCCAAATAATAGAGCCAAATCAGTCTTTATTAGAATTACAAAATGTTTTTGAAGTGAGTTATATAACTTAATATTTTTTTATATATTGAATACCTAGTTGACTATAAATTTATTTTTAAATTTGTATCTTAGAACAATGAAGTGATTTTAAGCCAAATGATAGAGCCAAATCAGTCTTTATTAGAATTACAAAATGTTTCTGAAGTGAGTTACATAGTTGAATATTTCACTTAATTTTTTATATTTTTAAAAGTTTATTGCAACTTTGTTTTGTGTCTTAGAATAATGAAGTGATTTTAAATATACAATCTACTGTATTAATTTTAAATTTATACAATTTTTTTATTTCATTGTTGAAAATATTTATAAATACTAATAGATAACTAATAAGTAGAAAACTGAACTAATATATTATTTTTCTTATGATAACAAATTAACTTGAACTTAAAATCACCTCATTCTTCAACAAAAAACAGAATTTATTGGTTTACCAACAACTGTGAGTTACATATTTGATGGATTATATATTACCTACATTGTTTCTATGAAAGTTAATAATATATATTTTATTTTGGCTTTTTGCTTAAATATTCCTGATCCCTAATATGACATGACAACAATGTTAGTTTTATTTTTATAATCTGTTATAAACTATAATTATTATGTAAACATATATTTTTGATAAAATATGTATTTTAGGATAACTTATTCGATTTTGATGATATGGAGTTTGTGATTCTGGAAGAAGATAATCTTGAAAATAATAGTTGTAATGAACTACCTAGCTCAGATATTGAGTACATTGATGAAATAAACAATGTGGATGGTGGACGGAAGAAAAAAACAATTCACCAAAAACAAATAAGAAAAAATATGAAGAATAAAATTGAAAACACTTGGATATTGAATTGTAACCACAAGGAAAAGCCTTCAACAGTATGTCATGTTTCTACAATTGGATATAGTAACATTGATAAATTTAAATGTTTATTGGCAAGTATACCTGATAAAATTAACCAAGATAGATTTTTACTGGATATGATGTCTATTACTAATGTACAAAGAAAGGATCGTCGTAAAACTGACAGAGAAGATAGATTACATGTAAATTATTTTATACCTAATGCCAAAGGTGATAAAATTCGAGTTTGTGTAAATGCTTTTTCATCAATCACAACAATTAATAGAAAACGTTTGAATTTAATATCCAAAACATTCAAAAACACTTCTTTAAGTCCTATAGAAAAAAGAGGTGGAGCAAGAATTACTGCCAAGTCTGTAGAAATTACCAATTCAATTATAGACCACATCCGTACTTTTAAATCAAGAAAGAGTCATCACACTCGCAAAGACACTAACAGAAGTTATTTACAGCCAGAACTTTCAGTGAATATCATGTTTAATGCATGGAAAACATTCAGACAGAACAATAATCAACCAGTTGCTTCATTTAGTAAATATTATCATATTTTTGTGGCAAAATTCAATATTAGTTTTGGCCATCCTAGACAGGATGTGTGTTCACTTTGTACTGAAATGAAAAAAAAAATGAAGGACGAAGTTGACCCAAATAAAAAAGAAGAAATTAAGTTTAACTTACAAGCTCACTCTAAAAAATCTAAACTTTTTTTTGAAAAAATGGCTTCTAGGTCTGATAACGTAATATCTGTTGCATTCGATATGATGCAGACACAGCCTCTTCCCAAACTTAGTGTTACAGATGTGTTTTACTGTCGCCAAGTATGGCTGTACAATATTACCTACATTTGTCATAAACTCTAAAGGTATTGAAAATCCTAGTACTTGCTATACATATACTTGGTTAGAAACTGAGAGTGGAAGAGGGCCAGATGAAGTATGTTCTGCTTTAATGTCATTCCTAACAATTTTAGAAAATAAAATAAAGATAGAACTACCTCCTGAAAACTATCCAAAAACATTAAACTTATTTTCTGACTCGTGTTCTGCACAAAACAAAAATAAATATATGATAACAACTCTTTTATATTATGTTAACTATAAAACCACAATATTTAATGAAGTTAACCATATATTTCCAGTCCGTGGTCACAGTTATATGCCACCCGACAGAGTGTTTGGAAGAATCGAACAAAAATTAAGAAAAAAAGAGAACATTGTATCACCAAATCAATACTATGAAGTGTTTAAAGAAGAATCCACCGTCTTGGTTTATGGCAAAGATTTTTTAGTATATAATTACAAAAATGCAGCTTAAAAATTATTAAAATCAATCTTAGGTTTTAAATCTACCGAACAAAAATGCTTTTCTTACATAAAAGGATTAAAAACTGTTGGAGTATCACCATCCTACACTGATACACCAGTAAGAGTAAATGTTTTAAAAAGAAATGCTGATCTCAAAGTTTTTGGTGAATATTTGGAACTTTTACCAAAACAAAGTCATGTCAAGGATGCTAAAAGGATTGATGTGTCTGGTCTAATGAAATTTTTTACCATACCCCCTGACGCAAAATAATTTTATGATGATATTTTATTACAAACAACTATTGAAGATAATGCTTTTAATGAAGATGAAGAAGGTACACCATATTACATTGAAGATGAACAATAAATTAATATACTATTGTAAAAAAAACTATAATAAATTGTCATTTGTTGCAATAATGCCATGTCTTGTTACACTTAAAAAAATATACATTTAATATTCAATAATTTGTTAAGTGTATTCATAATTTAAGTTTGATTTCATACCTAAATTTTAAGACTTAAAGCATAATATGTCTTATCCATGGGATTATTTTACTTTTTAAAACAATAATGTTACTAAAATGAACAATTTCCGGAAATAGGAAGTTTTGGAAAAAAATAACCATTTTTGTGCAAAACAGACAATTTCCATTTTGTTTTTTCGAAAGCTGACAATTTCCAGGAAATGGTACGTTTTGCACAAAATAGATGTATAAAATTATTAAAAAAGGTATAAGAATTAACTTTTCATTAAATTAAAATTAAAAAATGAGTTAATTTTTTAATTCTACATTTAGACTCATAGATCAATTAAAAATTAAACTTTCAATAATGTTGTAATAGATAATTGGTCTTTCTGAAAAATCATGTTTTTGGAAATAGGTTGTTTTGGAAAAGAACCCCTCAATTATTCTAATGTGAGTATACTTTCATATGTGTCTATAAATATTAAATACCATTATAATTTTAAGTTTTTAAAAAGTGTTATAGAATATAGATGAGTATGTAAATTGTTTAATGTTTAATGATATTTTTAATTTTTTTTTAACATTAAACTTGAATGATCTGAAGTACTCTAACATTCAAATAAAACATTTTACCTAAACAAATCTAGGTGTATAATAATACATTTATATTTATGTGTGTAAGGAAAGGTTGGTGGGTGGGTGTCCACAGATTTTAGTAATTTGGATACATATGGTAAATTTACTGTAGCCGCCACTGATTAAGTAGGTAGTATTTACTAATAACTATCGACATTTTCGATAACATACTATTAAGTTAGGTATTCTATATTGCTACGAGCTTACGGAGAGTGCCATAAAAAAATATAAAAAATATAAAAAAATTTATCCTATAATTTATTTAGATAAATAAATAATTTAGTTATCTTTATCTTTATCTTTATCTAGATAAAATTATATTTATCTCGGCTCAACAATGGATATTATTGTGAATACAGTAATTTATATATTATAATCTATTTGAGTGGAACCTTGTCTTAAATTTTCAGTCCTAAGCTATAAAAGTTAAAAAAAGGTGGGCAAGTGGGTGTCGCTCTGCTGTACAGTAGGTTACAAGTCTGTCACTGTATAATGGATGCTCATTTAAAATTCAATGATTTAATATCATTGTATAAGAAAAACGATTCTGAGCGGAGAAGGTATGTCAGTCTAGGTGTAAGACATATTATATACCTACATATCTATGGTATTAAACAAAAAATTGACCTATAATAGGTACCTATAATAAATTCCAAATTAATCATATCACAATATCCATTAGGTACTTAAAACGCGTTATACATCAACAAAAACCGTGATTCTATCATAGATATATAATAGTACACTTTAGAAGTATTCAGTACCCACGAATAATATTATTCAATCACAACAAAATAACTAAAATAGTTATCCTAGGTTTTTTAATATGTAATTTCGTCCAAATTTGAATTTAAAATGTCTGTAAAAATAACTGTGTTCATATATTTTTTAGATTTTTTGGTTACAGTATGAACTATTTATGAGAACCTTTGTTTTAAATTTGCAATCCTTAACTATAAAAACTGAACATTTTATAATTTATTAATTACAATGATTGATAATTTTCGAGATTTTGATAAATGTTGTCAAAATTCGATCTTTAAATGCTTATAAAAAAAACTGTGAATATCTATTTTTAATATTTTTCAACTGATATTGTAACAATATATCAGGAGCCTTGTATTAAATGTTTACACTTTTTGGCCCAACAGATAAAACTTAATTGATATTGATAGAAAAAAAAACTAAAAAAATTGAAAACTGAAAATGTCCGTAAACAGCTCAAAAAGAGTCAAAATATTTTCAAAATTGTGTGGTGTATAGGAAATGCTAATATAAACATTCAGTTAAATTTTCATGTATCTACAGTTATTCGTTTTTGAATTACAACAAAATAAGGAAATCGCTACATGAGAAATCGAGTGAATATCAAATGTTGTACAAATTTGAATTTCAAACGTTCATAAAAATTTAATTTGACTTTTTTATAGACATTTTTTGTTTGATAAAGGTAGATAATCTTATAAGGAATCTTGTATTACATTTTTAAATCTTAGAATTAAAAAGAAAAATTTTTACGAATTCTTAACCCAAAATAATTTGCTAATATTCGTAATTTTTCCATGTCAATTTTTGAACTTTAAATGCTTATAAAAAAAAACTGTGACTAAGGAATTTTAATATTTTTCATCTGCCTTTGAAAAAACATACTAGGAGCCTTCTATTAAATTTTCAAGCTCTTTTAACCAACAAATAATATTTTATTGATTTTTCTAGAAAAAAACTAAAAAAAAATGGAAAATGAAAATGTCCCTAAACAGTTCAAAATAAATCAAAATATTTTGAAAATGTTATCTTGTATAGAAAATGCAAATATAAACAACCAGTGAAAATTTCATGTATATACGTTCAATTGTTTTAGAGTTACACCAAAAACCAAAATCTATTTTTTGGAAAACCGAT